GCCCGGTGTGTGCAAATAACCACCAAGTTTCATTGATCGGAGTTCTGTATATAATTATGTATAATCACTTAACTCACTGCAAGATAAGATATTATTTTTATGAAGAAGGGGAGGCTGTATGTGACGTATGGGAGAAGTATAATCTGTTCTTTATAATAAACTTTTCTTGGGCTGTAGAATCTATTCCTTGCCCTTTTACTACACTTAGTTAAATATGAAGGGAAGTGTAATAAAATCAAGGCAGCAATTTGTCAACAAATTTTCTCTTCCGCGAGTGAAGTTTGTACAAGGTGGAGTTGCTTATTGGAAGAAAACGCTGAGACAATTTTAACAAGTCACAGTATATTTCTTAGTAATTTACAACATGAATGACCTGATGGCGATACATGAAGTGAAGTCTCTGTTAAGCGGTCGAGGTGGCTTCTTTTATTCAGCTCGGAGACGGCGGTGGAGGCGGTGCTTGTTTATGGAGCGGTATCTTTTGGTTCTTTCCTCTTGCTTCTTGTTTGTTTCAGTGGCGACAACATGGGGATTGTTTACATCCGATAGGTGCGTAGGTTGTTTGTCTGTCCTTTGGGATGCTCGGGGCAGTTTCCATTATGTACTTGAAGAGGGTGAGGTTCTTCTGTACATAACACGCGTAATAGAAAAGGTATTTGTATCGTGAAATGAACTATATACATGTAGGTGTGAAAGGGAAACCAGGGACTGTATCTAAATTTACTTTACGAAGGAAGGGAAAAAGGGACCTTTTCATCAAGAAATGAAATATTTTCTTTGTGCCTGGTTTTTTATCATTGTGGCAAGTCCTTTCTCAGCATTGTCAGTGTTGCTAAAAATATAAAGGTAATAGTTCTTTACATTATCAGCCCACTTTCACAACTTCGTGGGTGAATGGAGTTCCTTTAAGGATTGAAGGCCAGCTTTTATTGAGAATATTACGGTTTCTTCCTCTTTGACTACATCACAAGGTCCTTTTCCATAAGATGTTGCGAAGCGAAAAAATGCCATGGAGCACTCAAATTGAAGACATATTTGTGGGAGCATAACCTCGCATTGTTTTGTAAAACTAGGCACTTTCTCCACCTGAAAATTGTCTGATAACTCTGACCTAATCTTTCTCAAGAAATGTTAGGAGTTTACACTGAAAATGGTGAATTGAATTTGTCGTGTTCCAGGAATGAAGAAACAGATTTTATAATTTTTTTTATTATTTGCTTTCTCTGAAGTTAGCACAAAAGAACCAAGCGTAGCTAGGACAATAATTCACATCAGTCTCTAAATTACATCTTAGTCTGAAAAAATAATTTTAAAAATAACATTGGACAATGAAAGCTATGAACTTCAAATTAATGTTTACTTTCTCGCGACCGCTTATGCAGTAGAGAGTTGTAATACTGCGCGAAAAGGAGGCAAATATTGACAGAAAAACTTATTACTGGGCCCGGGCATCGAAAAAGGCTAAATAGTTGCTAAATGAGAGCAAAAATCCTCTAACATGTGGTGTAGCCACGTCTTTTTTGTCTTGTTTTGTGCGTTGATTCTGAAAAATGTATTGACGACAACGTGTCCGTCAGTATGTGAGAAACACTAGCCGCTAAACCGTTCAGTAAATTTTCTCCAGAACTGATATTCCCCGATTGATCTGGCGGATGTCGTGGCCCTTTAAATTTAAAACGAATATTTTAATTTAGGACCATTTGTACATGAAGCCTGCGAGACATGTCCCAAGTTTGCAAAAAAATGCTTTATCGTTTGATTAAATATTGTTGTTGGATAGTGTGAAGAACGTTGAAGAGAACGGTGTAGGTCTAATGTTCGTTCAATGTGATCTTCAAAAATTGCAGAAATTAAATATTTTGGAGTCTTCGAATTGCATTAATGGATATATATCCTTTAATGAAATCTGTTCCTTAAAGAGAGGTTTTGATGGTTGTGTAAAATTTTCCGAATATGAGAACTTTTCGCGTAATTTTGCATGTAAATACGGGCGAGGAAGTACATGTGGTTATAGCACCACTAGTTTGAAACTGTGTCGACATGATGTAAAAATTCGTAATTAATTTTTTCTGAAATAATAGGCATTTGCGCCAAAAATTTAAATATTAGCGCGCTCCTGATTCTTTGAAAAAATAATTGTTCATGTTTCTGAAAGGGATGGTATTGGAGAAAAAGAAAAATCTATTTTTAACTCCAAACCTTGTAAAGTTTGAATTCGCTAAAAGTGATATTTCAAGAGTGTGTGTTTTTTTACGTGGAAGAGTTTCTCTGCCCGGGCAGACGCAGGCTCCTCTTTGGATAAGGGGAGGAAAGTTTTGATGTGAAAACGAGACGGTGAGACAGTGAGACAGTGAATGTAGTAATATCAACAGTGGACGTGGATATTTAACAAATGAGACTATTATAATTTTAAATACTAGTTTTCATGTGTAAAAAAAGAAGAGTAAATCATTGGCCATTGCCGAAGGTTCAAATTTGTCATTGTAAGTCCATTGCTGGAATATTAAAATTTTTATTTTGATCAATAAAATGTGGTAAACGCTTTGTCAATGTCAATATCAATGTCGACGGCACGACTGCTGACAGTGATGGGGTGGGCGCGTTTGTTTCAATGTCATTTACTTAACTTAATAACAATGGAACACTATTTTATTGTAAATGAAAATATTGGAACTTGAATGCAAGTTTTTAATTTATTTGTGATTTGGAGCGAACAAAATTTTTTTCTTGATATAATTGTATTAACGGAAATATGAAAAAGTAAATGTGAATTGAATAGTTATAAAATTGAATGTTCTAATTGTTCTAATCTAAATGAAAGTAGTTCAGGCCAGGTGCCACAATTGTTTATCTTCGTGACTATCGGCATTAAAGAGCGAAAGGAAGAAAGTCATGGTTAGCTGATAAACTCCCCTTAGACGTGAAGGTCGGTAGTCTTGATCAGCGTACTTAATTTCTTGTGTACCGCTGTCAGTTGTTGCAGCCTTTACAGATAATAAACTGAAATGCTCAGATGTGCATTTGTTCGTAGATGAATTTTCACTTCATTTTCATCATTGCAGCCCTATGGTTTATTAGCGTATTCGTTTATAGATAATTTCCTTTGCTTGCATTGTATATATAAAGAGTGCAGGATATCCCAAAAAATTCGGACACGCAAGATTCTTTTGGTTCGTGGAAGGTCTTCGTTTTGTGAAGTAGTGGAAATCCCAGCCTGGACTCCCAGCCTGGACACCATGACTCTTCTCATAGCTTGTCGTTGTCCATTTTGTGTCTGTCATTGCTTTTGTGGCGTAGAATTCCGGCCAGGTCTGTCTTTTTTCCTGAGCTTTTCTGTCACTTAAAACTAATGTGAAAGGAAGGAGTAAATCCTTAAATGCTTTATGAGCAGGGTTACTCTTGCCAGCTAGTAAACTAATGTTGTAGTTGTTTGGGAAACTCATAATATTCGTCTTAAGAATGTGGATTTTACTTGTCTAGGCTATCCGGGACGAGCCTTGTCAATGTCATGGTAGCTTACGTTTCGGCCAGCGTATTGTAGCCTCCTTCAGAGCGTACTGCTGAAGGCCACAATACGCTGGCCGAAACGTAAGCCACCATGATATTGACGCGGCTCGTCCTGGATAGCCTAGACAACATAAACTCCGGTCGTGAAAGCCTACGTAACCGTGGATTTTACTTTTTCTAGTACTAACAGTGTTTTCCGTGAATTTCGGCCAAATTATCTCATAACCTGTAGCTTGTGTAATTTGAAACTTTTGATTGCTTTAGAGATATTAATTTAATAAGTAAACTGGAAATTCATATTATTGCATACATTGATGACATGAACTTTATTATTTTGAGTTGTGTTGAATGAGAACTATTTAACCCTCTCAGCTAGTCAATGACCCCCATCTCTATCAAGTTTTTGTTCAGTTTGCCTGATCGTCGAGCAAATGCTAAGATAGCCTCTTGTTTTGCTTTTGGACATAAATTCAACTTCAAATTAACTTCTTCCCATATGACATTACATTTTTTTTAACTTGACGTAAAGAAATAAGTAAATGATTGATTAACTTAGTAAATAAGCCTACTCGCATTGTAGATACTTGTGGCACGTGTACAGAGACCATGCTTTTGTTAGATATTTTAACAATATATTTATGATTTGAAAGCAAATTATTCCACAACAATATTACATATCATTCAATTATTAAATTACAGAATTGTTTCTGGAAATAACGAGTATTACAAAAGAATAGATATGGAAAAGCTAATTAGCTTAATTCTGAATGATGGATGAATATTTGAAAATTCAATATCGGATGCTATTGATGAGTTTATAACAAGCATGATTTGTCTTTTTGGTTTACTCATTAGAATCATTAGTAGAAAAGTATGAATATACAGTGTAAGAAAGAAATTATTGAAGTTGAAGCATTGGAATACTGATAGCTTATCAGCCAGCGTCGTGAACAGGCTTAGTTTACTTCGCTCCGTGAAGTGACGGAGGTGAAAGGAATGCGAGCCGTGCGGGTTCCTGGTTGGGTGGCTGGCTAAGAACCCCGGGAACTAACGGCGCGGAGCCTCTGGCCAAAGGCATAAAGAGCACTGACTGCGACTTAACGAGATTTGACAAAGATAGTAAAAGACCACTCCACGGAAGCGCTCAACGCCATAGGGATTCAAGAGACGCAACGACGCAACATTAAGAAAATAAGAATACAGTTAAGGAGGCAAATGTTTAAACGGCTGAAAAAACGAAAAGACACGAAGCTAAAACGTCATTACACCAACTTTAGAAATAGTGAATTTGGATATAAAGGAATCAACAAATTTTAGAGAGAAAATTGAAATGTCTGCTAAAGACCTGAAATCACACTGGAACACCATGAATTGAACCTGGGTGAACATCGAAGCAATGAAGATATGTATGAAATGAAAGGTAGAAATGGTGAGGTAACAGAAGAGTAAGTAATGGCTAATGAATTAAATTGTCATTATGAAAATGTTACCAGCAGCCTCACAATGCAGGTAAAAAGTACTAATTTTGATGAATTTCAGGAGTATAATGAAATGTGGGCAGTCATGTTGGGAATTGTCCCCCAAATGAGGATTTTTTTTCCCTTGTGAGAAAAGAATGAGTAACGTAAATTGAATGGGAAATGATTGGGTACTTTTTTGAAATTTGCATCCGGAGTTGAGAGAAATACTCCCTCAATTAGTATTAATAAAAGTCACTCTAATGTTTACTTTCCCACAACCTCTATCGCGGTATTGAGAAATTGTGGCTAATTTTTGGTAGAAAAACTCTTACATGTCAGGGAAACGTAGATGAATCCATATGGTAAATTTAGAGGGAAAATAATTTAACACGTGTAGCCAGAATTGGTGTAGTGGGACGTAGAGTTACTACAAAACTTACGTGAAGGTTAACAATATTACAGGTCAGTCAATTATTGCATTGACGATTATAATATCAAAATATGTTTACTGGAACTAACCAGCATTGCAGAAGGATGAAAATCGAAAATCTTATTAGCTTTCTTGAGAAAAATGGATTGTTTATATTTTTTAAGTTGTGCGAATTTCTCCAAAATTAATATTTCTCAATCGATTTGATGCCATGGCCATTGGATATCAATACTTATTTTTACAAAATTTCCATATTTTTTTAGTATATTTCCCTTAATGAAATGTCTTTTTAAGATTTTTGAAATAATCGTGTACTATTGTTCTATAATTGGAATATTTTTCACGCAATATAGGCCTTATCGTTGATGAAATTCTCTTTGGTAGTGCGAAGGACGTTTGAGTGCAGGCGTGTTGTTTGAAAAGCCCGATTTTTGGAAATGTTTGTTTTTTCGGCTACTTCGTAAAACTAAAATTATGAAGATACAATTTTCTTGTTAATGAAATGTTCCTGAAAACATCTTCGAAAAGGTTCCAGTTTAATTTGTTGGAAATGAGTAATTTTTTGTGGTGTTTGTTATTTTGCGACAAACTGTCGTGCGCTCTGAATGTACTGCGTTTCGTGAACGTAAAATAAATGTGGTGGTATGTAGTTGGGTGAGAGTTAGAATTTGAAAATTATTTCATATTTCGTTGTTTCTTACTTTCGAGCTTGCGTAGTTTTTTTTTATTGTTTTTTTTTATTAAAGTTTTTTGATATTGTCAAAAATTGTTCCCGGATAATTTATGGTTAAGTCTAGTTTTGTATAGTGGCAGTTTTGAGTAGTCATATCTGAAACATTTTTCGTCGTGCATGGAGATTGTTCCTAGTTGAACACATGTTAGGTGTTTTGAAGTACGCTGCTTTAGTTTTGTTTGGAAATAGTTTTGATATGACCATTTTATAAGAACTGAATTCGTTTTGAATTATTTGTTCGCATTTACTGTCATTATGTGAGTAGAGTAAGAGGGCATCACCGTATGTATGAAAGTGTCAATTTGGACTATCGTTTACGTAGAAGTATGTAAACAATGCGTTACGTTCGTGGTGCTGAGGAACTTCCTTGTGAAATGTTCTATAATGCTAGTCAATTGTAATGTTCACTTACATTTTTGTTAAATAACGTACAATAACCATACAATGTAGGGGTTTCAACAGCAGATACTTTCTTGCACGGTTGAAAATGGTAACTTCGTCTTAAAATGTAATTTCTGCCATATTTGAAGTATAATTTGAAAGCGTAATTGAAAGGAATCTCCTTTCGTGCTTACTTGCATGTATTTCCATTGTGAGGAAGAGTAGTTATTTCTTAGTTGAATAAATTTAAATGTTACTATATTTACAGAACAAATTGCAGAAAAGCAAGAATGTCACACACGCCTACCTTGATTGTATTTGAAGTGAAGGTTTCATTTTTAGTACAATAATCAGCGATTAAAACTTATAGTATTAGAAATGTAATGCTGCTCTTTTGTAGCAAGTTCCTTTGTGAAATATTAAGTACATTATACATTCATGGCTGACAGTGGGATGAAATAGAAGAATATTGAAATCTGTGTAGCAATTTTGCGATCTGAAGACCATCGATTCAAAGTTACAATTTCAAGCTTATCAGTTTTCGAAAATGCTTGTGCCTATATGAAAGCCGAAGTGATAGAATTTAAAGCCGTGTGAGAAAAATGTTTAAAATATTTTAAAAAGCACCTATGTTTGACCTAAAATTACGTCAAAAATTCAAATATTTTGAAAATGTGGGTCATGACATCCGAACAGTTTTTGATGAAGTCATTTCATTAAAAAAGTCTTGAAACGTAAAGTTGTAAGAAGACTGGAAAACAATGTTGAATTATTGCAGTTTTTGAAAAATGTTTTCAACGAACATTAGACCTGGATCGTTCTCTCACATGTCAAACAATACAATTTAATGAAAGATGGAAGTAGTATTTGAAAAAGTATGAAAATGTCCCAATGGCTTCACGTAAAGAATCCCGAAAACTGAAATCGGTTTGAAATTGGAGCGGCAGCATCAGGCAGGTGAAAAGGTCCGGGCCTTTTTTCATGATCGGGTATCGCATGGCATTGACATTGATGGTCATTGACAGTAGTTGTCACTGGTGCGGTGAAGGTACATTGTTGAAGGTGAAGGTTGAAGGTTTAATGTACAGGACACACAACACACGACCACGACACACGACACACGACACCAGACACACGACACCACGACACACACACACGACACACGACACACGCACACGGACACACGACCACACACACGACACACGACACACGACACACGACACACGACACACGACACACGACACCACGACACACGACAGCACGACACACGACACACACCGACACACGACACACGAACACAACGACACACGACACACGCACGACACACGACACACACACCGAACACACGACACACGACACACGGACAGCACGACACACGACACACGAACACGACACGACACGACACGACACACGCACACGACACACGACACACGACACACGATCACACGACACACGACACACGACACACGACACACGACACCACGACACACGACACACGACACACGACACACGACACACGACACACGGACACACGACACACGACACAGCACGACACAACGACACACGACACACGACACACACACACGACACAGACACACGACACACCGACACACGTACACACGACCACGACACACGAACACACGAACACGACCACGACCGTGAACACGACACCGAACCAACAGGGAAATTATGTTCCTTACTAGAAACACATGAATTAAAATTGCAAACCTTGGATCCTTGCAATAAAGAAAACACAAATTTAGCAATGAAGACAAATTGAAAACAAAATAGTGTGCTCAATGTACTTCACCAAAATATTCAGTACATACATAACATGATTGAAGAGTTTGAGGCAATACTTGAAGAAACATAGCACAAACAAGTTGATACACTTTGTAATAAAATGAAGTGTTATGTATTTCTGTTGAGGTACTTTTTGAGATACCTGGAAATTGATTCACTAATTTCAGTATATTAAGGAGCAATCTTCTCAATTTCAATATGGCATTGAAATTTGGGGTGGCACAACACAAATATGGATAGATTAATGGTCCTTGAAAAGAAATGTATAAGAAGCATTTTTGAACTGAATCCCAGACAGTCCTTTGAAGATTTGTTTATTAAATATGAATTACTGTTGTAACGCTCTACTCTTACAAAGTATTATTGCTATTGACAAATAATGAAAATGAATAAAGCAATAAAGAGATAGATAACAACCATACTAGATGACATAGGGACTACCACAGGATATACACTAGCAAGTCTTAAAGAAATGGATACTTTCTGCATTGCTGCACAGCTTTTTAAACTCCTTGGTAAAGTAAAAACTGTTGATGATAAATCCTTCAAAACACTGCTTAAACATCATTTCATTAGTGTACATGTGTCCATACAAGATATCTGAATTGCTTTATCTTTCTGTAATTAAAAGCCATGTACTGCTACAAGAGTGACCATTCTTTATAACTGTCTTCAGCTGGTCCAATAAGGCAATGTACTATTCAGTAATGTAGTAATTAATATAATTATTATTAATTGTGGACCTAATGTATTAAAGTTATTGTAAGTTAATGAAATGGCTACTGTAAGATAAGCAAATTAGTTACTTGATTTGTAAGCTATTTGCCACTAACATAATGTAGTAGTTTATTGTTAATGTTATTTGTTGCGTTAATGGAGTTTTGTATAGTTTAAAATGTATTTTAGCTTAATGTTATGAGAAATTGCATTATTATTATTATAATTATTTTTTTACGTAATTCATTGAGTAAACAATTTGAATTATTTCTGTAAGTTATGTAATGGAATGTAATTAATTATAACTTAATGTAAATGTCTATTTTAATGAATTAGGTATATTTTTGTCATGTAATTAATTTAGAAATGTAATTAAGCTTCATACCTCCCTCCCCCTCTTGTGAGTTGTGTAATTTATGGATTGCCACTAATAAGATGTTTGTATGTGATGGTATAATTGAAGGTTACCAAAAACTGTACTCCCAATGGAGGATATTTCAATGAAAAAAAAATTAAAATTGTTAGACTCCATGATGAATAGACAATGTAATTAAAAATTCCAAGCCATTTTAAGTATTGAAAAGAGCATATTACTGTCATTAAAAATGAAAGGTTCTGATTGGATAACTTTGCCTGTGCGCTCACCTTCATTATTTGTGAAACAATGAGCATAGTTTTAGATCAGACAGTGCCTAATGATGTAGTATGCAGACTATTTGAGTAAAATGTAGGTAATGAAGACAGTCTTTTTAATGAATAAAATTACTTGAAAAGTAAGCCAGTTTTTTTTCAATTTAAGAGGACAAAAAGGGACATTCCATGTAAAGTTAAAAAGGAGGAAGGACATGAGAACAATGTAAAAGGAAGTTATTCAAAAGTAGGACAGATGGCAACTTGAGTTGAAGTGTCATGAAAGATTGAAAACAAATAATTGTATATTTCTTGGATGTGTGTGTACTTTTTTTTTTTTTCCATTGGATTGAAAAATTTGTTTGAATGCTGTAATAGTTACTTGAGATAGTATTTGCTGATACACACTTGTTATAAGATGTATATGGGGTGTGTTAGTGGTACCTCTTATATTTTAATATGGCATAGAAGTAGGTAGGGTGAGGCCCTTGGTGTATTAAAGCTACAAAATGTTCAACTGTGAATGAGTGCTAAGTGTAACACAGAACTCATTTAGTGGTTAATATATTTGTAAAAAGAGAGGGTGGAATGTGGATCATTGCTGCAGGGATGTTATGTAACACAATGGTGCTGTGAAGCATATGGATGCTAGAAGTGTTGGAATATTGTGCAAATATGTACATTTGGCATGAGTTGAAAAATGTTTGCATGGTTTGAAAATATTTGAAAGCAGTGAAGGATAGAATGAAAGTAACAAATGGATGTATTTTTGGTAATGTTGTTTAACATTCTTAAAATTTAGTTTTGAAATGTGTAGGTTGCCAAAATAATTTAGAAATATGTGTTGAAATAGGTAGGCAAAATATATTAGGACTTGTAGTAAATACATATGTGTATATATAAAGTAATGCTTCAAATACTGAAAATATTTTTTGTATTGTGTATTTTTATTGAAAAAAATCTTGTCAATTACAGTAATTAATTGAGTAATACAAATTTCTGAAAAAGTAGTATTGTAATGTATTGTAACAATCTGTATAAATATTATGAAATATAAATATAAATGTGTACCACAAAGAAGTAGAATTTCCTTTTAAAAGTACTAATATTTTTAAAAAAATCGTAAGACAACAAATCCCTAGTTGGCATATGCATAAAACCTGCAAAAGAAAATGGTTGTGAAAGTGGTGTGGATGAACACTGTATAATTAATAAATATTTTGTTAATGATTTTTGTTTATCCTTAAAAAATGAATAGAATTGAAATTCAAGAACTAAAATTATATTTTTGGTGTGAAAGAGGTAGTAGAATGAAAGAAAAAGAAAGTATCTTTCTTTTAAAGTATGTTGTTTGTCTATATTAGAAGTTTTGGTTTTTGGAATATGCCTAATTTGGCTTTAAAGTAATGTCAAGAAATGTCCAAAAAAGTAAAGAATACAGTATTGAAATATAAAATGTTTAAAAGGTGTATTTGAACTGGAAATATTTAAATTGTGTGACCCTTGTTTGAGAGTAGGTAAGTGCAATGGTGGTAAAAGTAAAGAATGAAATTTGTTCATTTTGTTAATTATGAAATGGTTCCCTTTGTAGAAGTTGATATTATAGTTTATTTAAGGAATAAATAAATGAAGAAAATAGGAATATTTTTTGTGAGTATTTGTTTTAGGTGATAGTGGTTTGGTATGGGAGAAGTAATGTAAATGCGAAATTTGTTATAAGTGAAGGTAAAAGGCAGTAAGTGAATATTGATTTGAAATGGTTTTTTGAATTCATGTTAGAGGAGTGCAAAATTGTTTTGATTGTAATAAAAGGGGTTAAGATGTGTTGTTTTAATTCATTCATGATAGAGGTTATTTTGTACCTTTTTATGTCCTTTTACAGAAATATTGAGTAATAGCTTCCTCTCCTTTTTCTGTCTTCCTTTGAAATTTATAAATTGTTATGCTGAAGTGGCAATGTTTAACTTAAATATTGAAAGATTGAAGATTCAAAGATAAATATTAAATTTGTATTTTGCAAGTGTAGATTTGAAATGTGAATTTATATCATTTTAATGTGCAGATAAATTTTTATTTTAGATATTGAAATTTTACACTAAATAATATATGAAATGGTTAAATTCAAAAGATGGTTAATTTTTGATTATGAGGACCTTAGCTTGTGAGGAAGTTTTAAGGAGGGGATGTAATGATTAGAGAATCTGTTTTTTTTTATTTTCCTTGTCTTCCCTTAATCTGAAAGGTCTGCATTAGATTTGATTTAACTCTAGGGCTATTTATTGCATGTAAATAATTGACCCTGAAATAGTTTGTTCTTTTTGTCAGGTGTTATTTCTCTTCAGTGTTAAAATGTAGTTTTGAATGGAGGATTGAATTTTTGAATATGTTGTAAGTAGGTTTTCCTTACCTTCATGCATTTATTTCCTGTGTTGCCAATAACCTTTTCCTCATGCAATAAATTCTAAGAGATAAATGAAAATTGAATGTTATCAGGTCCTTTTCCTTACCCTATCCTGTTTACCTTTTTTTTATGTAGAATGTTTTCCATTGATCATTATTACATTGTTTATAATGTTGAAAAAAAAATTTGTGTTAAGGGTTTTGTATGAACTGTCCTTTCCTTTCATTTTTCACTTTTTCCTTTCAATTCCTGTGAACCTTTCTCTACTGCTTCAATGGTCTTCACTTGCATTTTGTGCATTTGCTCTTAATTGTCCTATTCCTCTTGCCTTTTTCCTGAATGTAAACCTTACCAACCAGATTATGCTCTCCTGTCCTGTCGTTTTTTCTTACAAAAAAATAAAGTCAAAATGTTATGTTTTGTAGTTTCTTCCCTACTTTTTTCATTATGTGTCCCTTGTCCTTTGCAAACCTTAATCCTTCATCCTTCAGTACCTGTTACCTATTTTTTTCCCTTTTTCCAATCAAGTGCAGACTGTTTTATTTGACAGTCTAAGCTTGGTTTCTTTTTACCTTCTATCCCTGACTTCCCTGTCATCCTTTTATTTTTTTCCTTTTGTAAGTTTGTAATCCCTTTTCCTTGTAAATGACATGTAGATTGCTTTTCCTCTAATTTGTTTCCCTCCTTGTTTTTGTTTTCCTCCTCGTTTTCCTTGTTTTCCTCCTCGTTTTCCTTGTTTTCCTCCTTGTTTTTTTTGTTTTCCTCCTTGTTTTCCTCGTTTTCCTTGTTTTCCTCCATGTTTCCCTCCTTGTTTTCCTTCTTGTTTTCCTTCTTGTTTTCCTCTTTGTTTCCTTTTAACTTGTACCATCTCTTCAATGTTCCTGACTGTCCATCTAGCCTTGTATCCAATTCTTTTTATCCTTAATAAGTTTCCTTGTTTCCTTTCTTTTATATTTAGAAATAAAAAAATAAAAAATGTAGATGTTAATTTTTTGTGTTGTATTGTTGCAGATGCAGATCCTGTCGGAGGAGTTGGTGTGTAGAAGCAGCTGAGCTGCCCCCCCCCTGCCCCGGCCCGGGGCTGTGGCAGTAGGTACTCCGTGAGAGCGTGGAGCGTCGGAGCAAAGGAGCGAAAGGAGCACACAGCACACAGACACAGCACGGCTGGCTGGATGGCACTCCCCCCTACTTCTGTTAATAAAGATTACTTCCAATCACACACTTGTGCTTTATTCACCTCACATCCTATTACGATAAGTTATCTTAAGATAGAAAGTTAAAACGCTTAGGCAAGCTAACAATGCATTGAGGGTAAGCTTTAAATTTGAAGGGAACTTCTAAAGTTAACTTTCGATGGAAACATTTAATGGGAAAACTTGGAGAACTCCGAAGGAGAACTCCGAAGGAGAACTCCGAAGGAGAACTCCGAAGGAGAACTCCGAAGGA